ATCGCTCGCACTTATGTCTATTGAATACGACATTTTGAGTAGTTTGGAATTCGACAGCATAATACAAGATTTCGTTGAATCCAAAAATCGCAAAAAAGTAATATATTAGATCATAAGATTCTGCAAAATAATTTATTACCGAAAAATATTATATTTTTATTTGTATCTTCATAATTTTGTGCAAAATACACTTGTTGTTTTTAAAGCTAAATTATTTTTGTCAGCAAATTTTTTTCTCTCAAGTTTTTCGTAGGCCCCTGAATTTCGTAGGCCCTAGGCACGTGCCTAGTGTGCCTATAGGTTAATCCGGCCCTGCATGTACCCGTAAGCAAATTTTCCGTTACCAAACATACGAAGTCGAAGATTTATGTAAGATGCATTATGTTATGCAAAATCTATAACTGAAGCTGCATGGATGGTTGAATAAGTGTAAGCAATAGCAAGCTTCCTAAAACCAGAAGAAATTTGAAAAACATTTCCCTTGTATTCCTCCGGTTATGTCATGTTTACGAATCGACGTGTGAACAAGCTCGACATTCTAGGAAGTTTTATTATTATAATTTCTGATTAAATTTAAGTGCAATTTTACCATTCATTAGTTGTAATTCACAAATTCTAACTAGCTGTGAGTCTGAAGCAAATTTAATAAAATTAATATCGAAACATAAATAAGGTGTAAGGTTTGCTATGGTTTGAGTGTTATCTTTATTTTGCTACATTTGTGTAAAATATCACCGTTTGATAATTTTTAGATAGCATCATAGAATGCTTGCGAAGTCATCCGAATTCATTTGTTGTTTGTTTCGTTAAAATTTAAAATGAAAAAAATGCCTCGTATTGTAAACACTATTAATGTACTAATATTGGATAGCGCTTTTTTTCATGTTTAGATGTAAAAATCAATCGGAAGTAGTAACCCGGAAACCATATGGCGAATTTTAACTTGGAGCGCCATCTACGATTGGCTTTACATAGCATCTGTGATTTTTTTTCTACTCAACTACTTTCACTATTACTTTCACTTTCACTATTAGCATTCTCAACGCTGTAAACAGACTTGTATAATTATGATGGATTTTGGGCTACAAAACGCTTATTTGTTTTCCCCTTATAATATCTGGTAAGTGTTTTAAAATACTAACACTAATTTTTGTAAAATAAATGGTCTAGTAATTGAGATTTATTCAAATGTTCATGGTATATGGAGGCGTAGATGCAATAACTTTAGTAGATGTAATATTCATTCTTACAGATTATGATTTATTTCATAAGTACTTCTTTAATAGGGGTAACGAGTTTTACCCTCTGAGTTTGTCCTCTTCTGTTTTTTTTCTTCTAGTTTTTCGTGGACTTTGCCTGGAAGTTTCTAAACCTGGTGTTTAGTTTAGAAAAGATACCGATCCAGATATGATGGTTTGCTCTATGGGAAAGTCTTCTATTTCGTGATCTTTCCCAGCCAAATCGTAATTACCTAGTCTAGGCCACTTCCAGGCAGGAATTTTCTGAGAAATGTAAAGGAACATCACAGCAGAAGTCTACATCTACAAATCATACCCCCGATATTAGNATCCCCCCCCCCCTCTTTTCAAACCTCTATAGGTTTATTTACAAAGGTATTCAACATCCATTTTACGATTTTAGTTGGTGCACTGACTCACAATATGGAAATATCCCCATCAGCAAGAAAAAAATAACCGTATCTTCTGTATATGCAGGTTTTATGAAAGTTGCATCTAATAAATTGGGGAGAGCCGTGGCAGAATAATTGCCAATGTCTGAGCAGCAGCCCTGAGAAACTAAAAAGAGCATAGCAGAAATAGGCCAACTCTAAAGATAAAGCTCGTTGCCACCCCTGGCAAACATCTACATTTTTATTTTGTAAAAAATATTTGCAAGTTTAAAATCTATTTGACGATTGTAGTTGGTGCTGCAAATCACGATATGGAAATATCCCCATTAAATGAACTAAATCACATGTTCTCTCTTTATTTTATGAATTAAATTTATAGTTTTGGAGATAATCATATGTACAGTGAATTCGCGATAACTCGAATCTGATAGGACTGACGAAAAACTTCGACATATCGGAAGTTCGACTTACCGTTAGTTTCGGTTTTGGACTTTCAAAATATTGTCGGATTATTTAATTAATGCTTATTAATTACAAATCTTCTAAATGCTTACAATATTTAAGATCATTTTTCTGACAAGCCATTTACGATAAGACTGTTTGAAGCACTTTATGATACCCTGGTTCATCGGCTGCAACTTTGCTGTTGTGTTTGGCGGGAGAAACTGCAAGTTTACGGCTTTCAAATTAGGTAGATCACTATGCGCTGTGCATTTATCCATTAAGAGAAACACTTTTCTTTTTTTTTAGCGAAGAATTTCCGATCCAATTTTCTTACACAGTCTTCAAATAAAACTGATGTCATCCAAAACTTTTTGTTATATTTGCAATCTAAAGGATGCGTTTTTACATTCTTGAAACATCGGGGATTTCGGTATTTACCGATAACAAGTAAGGGCAATTTCTCTGTCCTAGACACATTTCGTTCAACTAGGACAGTCAAACGTTCCTTGCACATTTAGCCCCCCTGAGCAGTTTTTATCCTTAAACATCATAGTCTTATTTGGAAGACATTTAAAAAATAAACCCATTTCATCNGTGACTTGTGTTTCAAAGGCAATATTACAAAAAGTAATAAAGATTAAAAAAATTAACCTACATTTTCGTGGATAGGAAAGATTGAAAAAATTATTAGTATTTTTTTTTAATTGATCACTCCGATTCTTGAACAAGAAAAATCGATTCAAAGTATGACAAGCCCGCCATAGACTTTACATGTTAAAAGCAGAATTGAGGAGTCTGCTTGGTGCAACACTTTTCTCCCGGCAACCACGATTCATGACCCTGATTTTCTGCTCTTTTGAGCGCGCCCCGTGCTCTTTGTTCGCCAAGGTAAAAATACTAGTTAAATTTTATGAGGATATTTCGGAATTGGTTATTTCTGATAGAAATTTTATAGAAATTTTTTTTTTCCTTATTGAGTTTGAAAACCATTAGAGATGTTTGAAAATATTTTAATAGTAGAAAATTCATACTATGCTTTAAAATTTGAATGAGAGAGTTTTATTTTTACAGGTTGGAAATCAGTTTCTCTGAAGACAAACGAAGTCTATTTTAATCATTGTTTTTAAATCTAAATAGTTCTTTAAACAAAAACTGAAATCTGTTGTAAATCTGTTCAATCATCTTTTCAAATCTGTTGTAATTAAAATAGTACTTATCCCTACCATTTGATCCCAAGTCCCATCCTTATGTAGATTATTAAAATTGTTTTAAGGATTGAGAAGTATATTGAGTCTGTAATGGTTATCTATATATTCTAGAGCAAAGGAATATTTGACTTGATTTAAGATGGCACAGGCATCTATTATTGATGAGGTGATAGCAGAAGCAAGAACTCAAGGTATATTTTCTTATTTTTCTAAAAAAAATTTTTTCTTCAAATATACATTTATTTTAAACATAATATCTGAAAAATATATTTTGTTAATACCTAATCCATTAATTATCCTACCAATTAACCATCCCACCTAAATCCATTACTTCTTGATCTGATCAAGAATATAATTTTTANATAGTCCCGATCATTCCGGATAATCGGTTCTCTACTGTATCTGAAAAATATATTTTGTAAATACCTAATCCATTAATTATCCTACCAATTAACCATCCCACCTAAATCCATTACTTCTTGATCTGATCAAGAATATAATTTTTATGTGTTTATAAATTGCTTGTTCATTCCCATCTCAAATATTACCCATTGACAAAATGTGTCTTGGTTTGGATTTCATGGCGTCCTCACTTTTCAACTACAATAATCAAGAGTATATGTGCATGTGTTGCTGTGGCAACCGCTGCTGTTTGATTATTTTTTTTAGAATTCATTTTTAATTTTGTTATGCATTAAGTTCTTGAGCTTATTTTTGAGATATGGAACCAGGATATCACATAAAGGATTAGTTAAGAATTTACATTTCGTGAAAGGAAGAATGTATTACTGTTTACTTCTTATAATTATCATTTGTTCACATAGTAATAAAATTTTTCTAAACATCTTTGTAATTTCAGGCTCTAATCTGTGTGAGTTTTTTGAATCCCATCTTCCACAACTGCGCAGGATTAGAGTAAAGGATATACCATTAAGAGTTCTATATAATATTGCATTAATTATCCACAGTACCCAGTCACATGAAAATGATTGGATGGCATTTCTTAATGAACTTGGAATAGTTGAAAATCGAGCAATAATTGTAAGTATAGCTGTTGAATTTTCAGTTTGAATGCATTTCTTATGTGGTACAATTTAAGTTAAAAATTAAAAGTTTAATCAAGTTGCAATGGTAGTCCATGCAGAATATGTTTAACACGAGTGCCACTTAAAAAATATTTCAAGACTGAACTTATTTTTTTGACCAATTAATACAATCTAGATGTTTTTACTAGAATTTTCAGAAATTTATAGCTTCAAAATGTACCTTTCTATGATAAGGAGTCATATATTAAATCAATTATCTAGTTTATTTCCTTTATTTTATAATTTTTTTTGACAGCAAACAAGATAAAAATAACAGCTAACCTTCTACATCTTTTTACGTCAATCACTGAATAATAAACCACTAAATTTTTTCATGAAGCTATACATATCTCTACTTATACTTTTTTACTTCACCATTATTTAGTTTTTGTCCTATGTCTATAAAAAAAATAATAATCTCTTCTTAACTATTCTAATTCAAAACATTGGGAAAAAGTAAAAATGAGAAAATTTAGATACAATTATAGTACAAATTTTATTTAAGCAAGCAGGCGTTGAAGTTTAATCTTATTCTTTCTTTACTAAGCTGCATCATTGTTTGGTCATTTTGCAATGTTTATTAACAATGCAATTTTGCAATGTTCATTAACAATGTTTACATTAAAAGGTAATTTTTCTTTTTATTTAACAAAAAATATTTGTTAAATTTTTAAGGAAAACAGAAATTTTAATATTAAAACAAATGGAAGAGATATTAATTTATGAAACTTATGAACTCCTGATTTTCTCTCAGGACTGAAAAGTGGCACCCATGGTCTGACCGTCAAACAAGGATTTGGAGAAAATTCAGGCACCCATAGAGAGATTTTTGGTTTAAAAAAAATTCTTGTAAAAATTTTGTTAAAAAGAGATATGTCAATTTGTGTATTTATTAGTTTGAATTTCTTAAGTTTATAACTAGGCATGATAGAAATTTAGATAGAATTTGCACAAGTTGAGAGTGTCAGAAAGTGATTCTAATGTGTAATTCAAAATTTCTGACAGTTTTTTCTTTATTGTGTTCAATTGCTGTATATATATGTAGATGATACTGATGTATAAATTTTATCACAAGTTTTTAAACTGGGGAATATAGGAGTCATTTTCTTAGTGATACGGGGAATTTGTAAATGTCTTCTCACTGCACACCCAGATGATCTAATCAGTATTATGTATGCAATTGAAAAAAGTATGTGTAAAAAAAATTAAGTCCTTTGGAAATTCAAATATTATCCTATTAAATACGAAAAACTGATTCCCAATAATACTTCTTCATTGATTAGTTGGTATCTGAAACTGATAATGTATTGTTTAAATAATTAGCCCTTTAACAACTTTGAGCAATTTGTATTTTATTTACTTGATAATATTAAATCAGTGTTTTCACTACAGCGCGAGAACGCGAGAATCTCGCATATTTTTTTATATTCTCGCATTAAAAAATGATTACCGCGAGATTATCCGTTTCACTTTTCTTCCTGGATCTTTTATTATTTTCAACATCTGCCCCATTATCTAGCTTCCCTATTTACCAGTATTGTTCAGAACCTTTAAGAACAACAGAACACCATCCTTCCGAACCACGGAACCTCTTTCAGAACGCATTTCTCTGCAACCACGTGTTTACCGTAGGTAAGGTTTCTTCATGTAAGACGTT